TTCCCACCTGTTTACCTCTGGGCTTGATACTTTCACTTAAACTGTTAAGTATTCCATCTGTCATCGGAGTTCTTTATCCTCGGTGGTGTTTCGTTTAATTGCTTGGAGCGCTGCTCTTCCCGTGCAGAACTGAGACAGCTCTCCTAGGCAGCAGGTGGTTAACCCTCGTATTTTGCATGAAATAAGGCTTCTGTAGATTGGGGAATAAGATATTGGGCAGCTTGTGACTGGCAGTGGAATCACCAGTGCGCCACATTTCCACTGCCATGGGTCCGGGCTCCCGAGCTGCGGGCGTGCAGCGGGGTTTTGTGCAGCAGCTGACAGGCCTGCGTTCCTTCTGCAGTACATGGTGCCCTTTCTGCTCAACCAAAGCGGGTCTCTCCTTTTCTACCTCACCTTGGCATCCACAGGTGAGTTCTCATTGCTTTTGTGGGGTGGGTTGATCAGTGGGAGGATTGATGCTACCGATGAGTGTAGTGACGCAGCTAAACGTCGAGCAGCTGTCTTGCAATAATCACCAATCAAATAAGTCTCTCACAAGTTGTACAAGATTATCCTTTTGAAGCTGTTTGTGTTACAACTGTTCCTTTTCAGATCTCTCTGTGGCAGTACCGCTCTGTAACTCCCTGGCTTTGATAGTCACGCTGGTGACCGGGAAGATTCTGGGAGAGGACATTGGTGGTAAAAGTAAGTTATGCTTAAAACATTTCCTCACATTGCCTCCTGCACCCATTCTCTACCCACTGGTCTCCTGAAAAACAGCAAATACCCATGGAAGGGCCTTAAACTAGTCGAGCAGTAGTTCTTGCTACAGAACCTGAAAGGGAAATGAAACAGTTGTGGGCAGGAGTGTGAACCCCTTCAGGACTGGCCTGGTCTGGGTCGTATCTGTGCACACAATTATCCTATTTACCGCAACATCTGGGCACTGCGTGTTTAGCAAAGAGAAGATCTGACGAAGGCCGAGCTGTGTAAGTTCCCAACAGGCGACTGTTCCTTTCCGCAGGGGCTGTGGCAGAAAGGCGGCTCCCCGTCCTGGGGGTCCCGCTCTGTGTAGCCGCTTCCTGAACAAGACCCAGCGAGAGGCAGAAGGAGAGAACCTGTTCCAAGGTAACGCCCGTGGCTGAAGGCTCAGCACACGAGGACGTGCACCTTTTTGTGCAACTCGGGTGCACCTGAGGACACAGACTTTGACACACGGGTGTCATCTCGTTCCGAACTGGAGGGATGATAAGTGGTTAATAAATCGATCTGGAACAAAGTGGTATTTTTTTCTGTAAAACAAATCTATTCAGGAACTCTCCCTTTTTGTGGCCAAGCACGTGAATGTGGCTTCCTCCACTGCAACGCACCAGCTCACGCTGCACCGTCCCTCACTGCTGAGGTTACCCTGTGGCTTTTCTCCACTGGGGTCTCGCAGAGTGCCTCTCTCCTCTAAAACAACAACAGTGCCCTGTGTCCCTAGGGAGGTGAAATTATCAGTCCAAAACACCAGATAGATCCCAGAAGGAAAAAAATCCCTTTGTTATGCTTGTCATTAATCAGAGCGTTGATTCAAGAGCTGTTTATTATTACTGTGACTTCTCCTAAATCAGGCAAGTGCTCCTAAAACAAGTTAAGAGAAACAAAATACATGTTTTGGGAACAGATCTGATCATTACAGCCCGAACTGTTCCTCTTCTCCCATCACACTCCCTTTGTTGCCCAGGGCTTTTCATCTCCAGAGTCACTGGCATCCCTTTTCCTTGCCACAGGCTTCTGTGATTCCTCTGTAGTCTGTGCCTTTTTGTGACAAGAAAGAAATCGTTATTAATGTAACACTTCATTGTTACAGAAAGATTCTGGGACTAAATTCCTGGATTCCATTTCCCATCTTACCAGGGCCCAGCCTCTAAAGCAAACCCAGCACACCCAGCTCCCCCGTGAACCAAGAAATCAGGAACCACCAGCTCATTCTTTACTAGGGCTTTCACTAATTTCAGTTCAAAGGAGTTGTTTTCCTTTGAAATTCTAATTAATCCGAAGAGACTACACCTAGGCAGAACTGTGAATCACCTACAGTATAATATGTGTCATTCCCTTATGTCGATTTTAAATGTCCTTATGAGCAGTTGAAAACATCAGTAAGCCACAAACAATAAGCATGTTACAGACATTTTGCACATGTAATTTTTTTAAAAAGTAACTACTTCTTTTCCCTTTAAAAAAAAGGTTTTAAATTTGTTACTATCTAACATTTCATGAGTTACGTGTTCATTCTGGGCCAGCTGCTAAGCTTCGCCTGGCTACAGGCAAGTTCTGCTTAACAAGTTATATTTGAGGGCACTGAATTCTAGTGTAAGAAATCTGGACGCAGCCAGGAAGGATCATACATCCTTCCCTGAAGTGGAACAAACACTTTACTGTGGTGTATCCTTTTGGGTTTTCATATAAATTCTTCTGCAACTCTCTGGAACAGCAATAAGGATAGAAGTAACACACGCACAAAACCAAATAAATCCAGGAAAGCGTCTGATATCCTTACTGCAGTGGGAAGCTGTGACTCTGACAATCCAGGAGGGAAATGTTCATTGCCCAGATGACAGTCTCAGCTTTTTAAAACACAACGCCCTGCAGATACACTCTGCCTGAAGTTCCCCCTGGTGGTTACCTTCATCTTCACACACTCCAGAGAAGCGCGGCGCTTCCAAAACCTCACGAACAGGACTTAAGTGAGAAAACTGATGGGCTTTCCCCAAGGATGTGCTATGAACGAGGGCTGGATGTGTTCTCACAGGCTCTCGGAGCTGGCTCCCTGCTCAGCAAAACCTGGAGCACCGAGAGATTCCCGGGGGACCACGAGTGCTTTAGAAAATCATTTCTCAGACCTGATCAGTGGGTACGTCCGCCCTCGTGGGTTCATCCTCTCTTACTTCCTGGACATCTCGCATCTCCTTCCCAGGGTCCCTGGGTTTATAGACGCTTTCTTCTGTGAGGAGAGGGAAAGAAAAAAGCTGTTCAATGGGTGCTGCAGATAGCCATGGCCTGGTCCCGCTGAGGCTACAGAGAGGTTCTCATACGTGCCCAGAAAAGAAGCAGAAATACAGGAGTTATTGGATGCATCACTGCTTGCTTTCAGTGCATCTGCAGGTAGTTTGTCTTTCAGCATCAACATAAAGCCAGTTCCCCTCGACACTCCCAGCAGTTATACCTTGATCAGGCTGCACATTCCTGTTGCTCTTTCGTCCTGCACGGACAGGTTTAGCGTGGAAAACGGAATCTTCCTCTTTAAGGCAAAATTTCCTGGCTTGCCTTTGCAGTCGTGGAAAAGCAGCTGGGATCTCGTCTTTCTCCGCAGCTCCTGCGGTCTGCGCCCCGCGACCGTCCAGCTGAAAGCATTCATCACACCCTTCTGAGAGATCTTCTTGGTGAAACAGTTTATAAAACAAGAGGAGTTTTGCAGGGCAAACCTCTGAACACTGCACTTCCTCCTGTCGCCCTTGAACCTGACTGGTGCAAACCACTGCGTTCTCTGACCGGGCTTTTAAGTTGGTACTAAAGTGAATCAGGGAAACACATAAAAGACTTACTGCAGCCACTACTACCTGTTGAAGTGGTTCAGCAAATGCAGAGTCACCACCTCTGTCCTGGGAGATAGCACAGAGCTCACCAAACTGCAAATAAAAACACAAAAAAAAGAAATTTTCAAAGCAGAGAGCACAGATGCACATATCCATGGACAATCCAGAACAGCCCAGCTGCTGGATCTGTGGTCTCTCTGCAGGGATCTGTGGTAGCGTCTGTGCACGGATGCCTGCACACCAGTGTGCCCGAGCACGAAGAGTCCTGTGCCAGCTGAGCCACCTACCTGGCTGCGGTGCTTTCTGCGCCTCCTGTTTGGGTGGTTCCTGTAAGGAAGAAGCAGCAGGTTCTCAGCAGCAGGCAGAAGTCAGCTGTAGGAGGACACCACCTCCCCTCTTCCCACAGGATAGGGCCCCTGGAGGTGTTTTTCTTCTCAGCACAGGTAAAACCCACTGCACAGGGGGGATCACATCCCCGTTACATCACACTGCCCACCACAGGCCTGTGAAATCTAAGTCAGGTGCTCCTCAGCGCTTGATGAACACTTCACTAAGAAACAACCAAAGCACTCGCTTTCCCTGGTGCTGAACTCTGGATTTCAGGGCTAACTCTTACACCAAAAGCTTTGGAAATGTGTTCTTCATAAACATCCAACAGATGAAGCTCAGCTCAAGCCCTGAGGCCAGCAGCACTGTACAGGAGGGCTACAAAAAGGACAGTTTTCACTGAAGGCCACCACAGAGAGGGTTCTTCATACCGCTGAGCCATAGTCGACATACCCCAGCATCCTGCGCACAGAGTCCTGGGGCACCAGTAGCTCCAAGTAAGGCAATTTCTTGTACTCCTCGTTTCCCACTGCCACGTAGTAATGGCCGTTCACCAGCTCCTCTCCGCCAGACACCCGGGTTCCGTCCAGCCTGCAGAGCCTCGAGGGAGAGACAGCGAAGGGCTCAGAGCTGTCACAAGCCCCTGAACGATCCCTCAGCGTGGAAGGAAACACGTGCAAAGTGGTAAACAGGGCCGAGACAAGCCAAAGCAGCACATCAAAATACTACTCAAAGTGTAGTATGAGATGTAGTAGGAGATGCACTACAGCTCAGCTTTCTCTTTGGGTGCCAGTAAACAGATGTATGAGGATGTCCTGGTCTGAGCTGTATTTGTTGGATAAAAGTTCTTCCCTCTAGATATAACCTCCTTTTCCTGCCATCCTTTACTCTTTGCTTATTGCTTTTTCGACAGAGCACCAGCACCGTCAGCCCCCGTCACAAGGCAACCCAGGACCGCGGGGTTATCCCCGATTTGAAGACGGAAAAACCCAAAAAGCAAATGAATTTACAAAAGTTGATGAGAAACGGCTGTCTGAGCTCACAGTCCTCTGTGCTAATCGGTTCTGGACGTGAGGAAAGGGGAGCCAGCAGTGCCAGATCTGGATACCCACTTGTTAACAGCTCCGCTGTGCAGGGCGGCTTTCTCTGTCAGCGTGGCCAGGAGCACGTCCCACGGCAGCGGGGCGCTCTTGGGGAGCAGCAGTGGGAAGGGAGGGCTCAGCAGATCCCCGTTCCGGAAAACACTGCAGGAGAAACAACCCAGAGCACGCGATGAGCCAGCGTTCCTGCACCTGTGGGAGGTGGGGAAAAAAAGCCAGCCACCAGTGCCTGGACAATAGTCACAGTAAATATTTCGGGTAGAAGCTGGGAATTGTCCCTGTGGGGCAGAAGAAATTTCTCGCAGAGAAATTCCCTTCTCCAGCCTCCAAAAACATTCCCAGAGCCCCTCCAAGGAGAAACCACCGAGGCACTTACTGTATGACACAGGGCAGGCGGGCGGGCTTCTGCCGTCGCACCGAGACATTCGGCTTCCAGGGGGCTACAGGGTGAAACTAGAGAGCAAGTTCAGCTCAGGAGAACAGAACAGAACGGCGATAGCCCCAGCACCCACCCTCCAACCCTGGTCCCTTCTCCCCATCGGGAGCCGCCTGCCCTTGGCCATGGCTAAACCGTCCTCCCGGGTTGCTCACCCTGCCTCCAGGCTTGCTGCTGCTGCTGCTGCTGGGTGGGGTTTGTTGTCAGCAACGCCAAGGCTGGAGAAGCCCTTTGCCTGGCTGAGAGTGTTCGAGAATTCCCAGAGAACCTCCAAGCACGGACGCCCTGCACCGTGTCGCTCTTCCTACTGAGTCCTGTGGCACTTCTGCCCAATTCTCCCCCGGGCACCTCACCGCTTTCAATCTCAACTGGAGTTTCACCAGTGCCAGCCCTGATGTCTCTCACGCCTCCTCGCTCGTTCTGCTCTCCCCACTGAGCTCGAGGACTCACCTGCAGCCCCTTGCTGTTCCCTGTCCCCCGGAGCTCCTTTCTTCCGCGATTTAAATAGCTGTGAGAACAAGACAGCGGTGTTGCCACGTACCAGCTGGGCCATGGCTGACTTCAGAGCAGCAAGGAAACGACCTGCTCTGCCGCTGCCAGATGCACGGGTCACTTCTGAAACCATTCTCCAGGTGCCTCACCCCATGGTCGCCCAGAACTTCAGTCTAAATTAAAGCCTGCTACATTAAAGAAGTTTCCAGACAAATACAAACCATTTCACACCTCCTGCTAAAGACACCCAGAAGATTTTAGGTCTTTGTCTTACTCACTGATCAAGGTCTAAGGGCTCACGGGTGTTAATGCAGCCCGGACCATGGTCTCAACAAAAGAGAACACACGCCAGGCAGCCGAGTTCACCGGGCACACACACACCCCTAAGTCAGGTGATGCCACAAAAACTTCAACTTGCTGTGTTTCAGGATGAACCAAACCAGCTCAGCTTTGTGCTGGGTAAGAAAACAAAACAAAAAACAACAAACTTTCATCGAACCGAAGCAGAAGTTGTCTGTCAGTGGATACGGGGTGACTGCCAGCTCCGCCAAGGAAGCGGCAGCAGAACCTGCCCCCCAGCAGAGCAGCACTGCTCTCACAACACCCTGCCAGGGAACACACGCCTCCCCCGGCGTGTTTCTTCTAAGAGTCAAATGACCTTATATTTGCATTTTCCATGCGATCTCAAATACATCCAGTAGTTCCCAGTAGAAAAAGAAATTAATCTCTGTTTTCTCATTGGATTTCTACCCCTCTTACCTCTTTTTTTCCATTCATACCCCAACACATTCCCTGCAGAAGTGATCTAAAGCCACTTACCCAACCCAGAGACCAAAAGTCCATCTACTCACTTGAGCTTTTTGAACTTTTCAAAACCTGCAGCCACGTACTGGCATCCATCCTGCAGGTCCCCCAGCTCAGCGACGCGGTGCCCGTGCCTGGGCGTGTAGAGGTTCCTCACCGCCAAGGGCGTCTGAAGGCTCTTGGTCACCTCGTTCAGAAATGCCTCAAAAGTCAGGAACCGCTGGCTCACCACGAACTTCCTCCCGGGGCAGAAGGGGTCGCCGTTGCGATACACCACCACGTTCTTGGCTGGAGGTGCCAGAGCTAAGCCACGGGAGCTCATCCCCCGGCGGCCAAGCAAGCCCTGCTGACCACAGAGCCAAAGAGAGCACTGCGGGGAGCAGAGCAGAGCCCCGATCGGCCTCCCGCCGGGCCCAAACCCTTCCGACCAGCTGCTCTCGCCTTCTGCTGCCTCTTCCCAGCGCGGCCAGGCGTGACCGGCCGTCACCATGGACGCGCGCCCAGCAGGAGGAAGCTGTGGGCCCGTCTGGAGGCCACATCAAACAATCCGCAGAGCACCTTTCTGTTTGAGAAGCAGGAACCACGCGGCTCTTTAATCCTCAAACGCCGAGCACTTCGGTTTAGCGGTCACAGTGGTGTTGGCTTGACGGTTGGACTTGACAATCTCAGAGATCTTTTTCCAACCTTGATGATTTTACAAGTTCCCTCACCAGCTGCTGTGGCCACCAGGCTCAGATCAACCAGCCCAGAGGTAGAGTAAGTGCCAGTGCTGGACAAACATCCAGCGGACACACCACCCTTCACACTTAACGTGTTGCCACCGGTCAAAGAGGGCCACGGGCTCGTGTCTGCCCAGGGGAAGGCAGTAACCCAGGCAGGAACACACAGATTCAGAGACGAGCTTCAGGAAAGCTTTTTATTCATGAACAGGGCATCAGGAGCAGAGAGATCCATCTGCCACGTGGCAGGAGCAACCGGCCAGTCAGCAGGGACGCA